GACCTCTGGTACTCCTTTGCAATATGTTACAAACGGAGCTAATGTGTTCAGTTGACTCATCTTTCCGGGAACATTAGCTAATTAAAAATGAAAAGAATCTAAGCTTCACAGTGTACCGTGTTGTCTATGGTCTCCGATCATGGAGTTTTGAGAATTTGTGAGAAGGATAGACTAATCGACGAGCCGGAGAACAGGAGAATTAGCAAATTTGATTAGATACGAATAAATTTGGTTGACTCTGCCCTTTTGGCGTGGAGAAAAACCGGAAAGCTGATGAGGCGGTTACATATATACAGTAGCGGTCAAAAGTGTTCACCGAAACGGTTTTTCGTGCATTTCCTTTTTTTGCCAGAAAAACTCAAAATTTTCGAATATCCTGATTTTTTGAGACTCGAAGTTATAAATACACTAGAAAACATAGTAATCAATCTTTGAGGATGTTGCTCAAGCAAGAATAATAATGCGCCGAGAATCCTTTCGGCTAACACTTTTGATCGCTACTGTACGTGTTTCCCCCGAATGGTAGGTATGTGGTCTTCTTCGCGGATTCTTCGACTCCATGCTCTCAGAATGGTGTTGTGGTGTTAAATGGAGCTCCCTAGAAATAGTGCCATATCTTCGTGAGCCCGGAGATTCCCTGCGAACTCCATCAAAGCGCTTTTAGCTTCCTCAGCCCTTCGTATTCCCCACTCCTTTCCTGACCTACCTTAATTCTTTTTTGTTCGGCTTGAGCACACTATGGCGAATTTTGTCTCAATATCAGGTCAGGAAAAAGAATATAAAAATCAGATCAGGATATGGAGGACCAATCAGCCCCTTTTTCAGATCGCCATGCATTTAACTTTTATTCACAAATGCGATTTAGCCAATGTAGTGATTTCTAAAGTTTATGGTAAATACGGATTCGCTATTCGTGAAGCTCATAGCAAAAAATGATCTGTACAGATTGTAGCTTATAAGCAAATTGTACCCCCCGAGGATTTTAGGATGCACTTTCCAATAGGAGTCCTCTAAACGTGGCGAGCGCTGCCTCTAAGTCGATCCAGAGGCATATTGCATGTTCCATATGCCAGTTTGGAGAAATGTATGGCTCGATAGCGCCCTCTTTGAGGCAACACTCCCAGCAGAAGTAGTGTCAAAGAATCTATTCAGTGAGCGGGATAGAGTAGCCCACGAGTACCACAATGGCGCTTCTCGAAAGTGTGCGACAATGGCGCTACGGTTCTAGAAAGTCGGCAGCATTTGGACGAGTTTCTTCACGCCCACCTTAGTTTCGTCACGCAACTTGGACCATGGCGTAGCCGCTTCGAATTCCCGGG